CTGTCCTTAGTGAGGTGTTCGGTTAAGCACTGCATTGAATGACTACTATTAGCCCACAGGACACCTTATTTAAGGTGAAGTACATGGACGAAAAAGAGATTGGGAGCGATGAGCCACTTATAAAATGTCTTACAGGGGCGCCTGGGTGGCTCAGTTGGTTAAGCCACCGACTTTGGCTCAGGTCTTGATTTCACGGTTAGTGGGTTCGCACCCTGCATTGGGCTCTGTGCTGACAGCTCAGAGCCTGGAGTCTGCTTGGGATTCTGCGTCTCCCTCTCTCTCTGCCCCTCCCCTGCTCACGCTGCTTCTCTCTCTCTCTCTCTCAGAAATAAATAAAACATTAAAAAAATTTTAAATTCTTACAATTAGGATTCAAAATTCTTTGACAGAGCAAATGTCTTATTTTTATATTTTTTTAAATATTTATTTTTAAGAGAGAGAGCATGAGCAGGGGAGAGGCAGGGAGAGAGGGAGACACAGAATCTGAAGCAGGCTCCAGGCTCTGTCAGCACAAAGCCTGATGCAGGGCTCGAACCCACAACCCATGAGATCATGACCTGAGCCGAAGTCGGAAGCTTAACCGACTGAGCCACCCAGGTGCCCCTGTTTTAAAATTATTCCATTTGGTGTGCCTGGGTGGCTTAGTCGGTTAAGCGTCCGACTTTCGCTTAGGTCATGATCTCGCGGTTCCTGGGTTCGAGCCCCGCGTTGGGCTCTGTGCTGACTGCCAGCTCAGAGCCTGGAGCCTGTTTCAGTCTGTGTCTCCCTCTCTCTCTGACCCTCCCCTGCTCACGCTGTCTCTCTCTCTCTCTCTCTCTCCTAGAAATAAATAAAACATTAAAAAAAAATAAAATTATTCCATTTATCTCTCTCGTCAAAACGTCTGTGGTGTGGCTCCCCCCACCTCCCGCGACTGCCCAAAGACTTCCACACCTGACATGCTCCCAGTTCTTTCTCCTACACCCCCTAGCCCACATCAAAATGACTTTTCCAGAGCAGTTAAGATATGAGAATTCATAAGGCTTCCACATGGTCAGAATTACATGTTATGAAAGAACATCTTTTTTTTTAATCATTTTATTTTTTTTAATGTTTATTTTTGAGAGAGAGAGACACACACACAGCATGAGTGGGGATGGGGCAGAGAAAAAAGGAGACACAGAACTTGAAGCAGGATCTACCTGTCAGCACAGAGCCCGACGTGGGGCTTGAACCCATGAGCCGTGAGGTCATGACCTGAGTGGAAGTCGGACGCTCAACCAACTGAGCCACCCAGGTGTCCCAAGAATATCTTTTTTTGTTTGTAGATAACTCACTACTGCACTCTTCAACTATTTTAGCAGCCACAGCACACCGGTAGCTCAATTACAATTGTGGTCAATTACAACCACTAGGTATTTTCCCCACTGGAACCGCTAAGGAGCAGACCTCCCTGAGGTGAATTTGATCGCAGATGATTTTAATGACTGTGCTGTTTCAAAGAGAGTCATAAATATTTTGCATCTTGCAACTCGGCTGCCTAAAAGAGGTTTGAGTAACCACACCCAGCCCCCTCCAATTTGAATCGGACACCCCACTGATGCTGAAAGGTCTCGTGGACTTACACATTCTTCAAGATCTCTGGGCACAAGGCCATCCCCTATCGATAATTCCAAAGTCCAAGAAACTCTGAAAACCAAGCTGGTTTCTTGTTTTTGGGGTTTGTTTTTTTGTTTTTTTGTTTTTTAAATCATCTGAATGCAAAACTTGACCGGAAGCTATTTACAGCCTATATTCCTCTCACTTAGTATGAATTTAGGCGTGTTTCTGCAGAAATATTTTATTTGATTAAAGGTTTCGTCTCCAGTGCTCGTTGAAAGCTTACCGCTAAAGATTCAGTATGTTTATCGCAGTAACCTGTTACATCAAAAATAAATTTGAAATCAAAAGCACATCTGACCTTAAGGGTAGCAGATGAAGGATTAAGGATCTTTGTCCAAGCCCTACCTGCGTGTGATAAAATCAATTCACATACTGTTTTCCTGCTCTGTGACATGGTATCTACTTTGAATGCTCTAAATAAAGCCACCTTTGATTTGAGATGCTTTCTGCTAACATCAAACATTGGTCAGTCCCGATCATTTCTAACTAATCTTTCCAACGACCTGGAGACAGAGGCCACCAAGACTGCCCCTATTATTTCCACATGTAAGTGAAATACCTAAGATCACATGGTGGCCTCCTTGGGAACCCTGTGACATTTTTGGCACTCATTCCTACCTGAGGTATTTAGATTCAAAAGAACACAGGAAATTAAATCGGAAGAATTTCCTCCTATACATCTGTCAGATTAGAACTTTGTGGAATAAAATTGTATCAGTTTAATGCAACTTCATGTTATAAAATGAAGCCTAAATATTATTAAAGTATTTTATTCAAAAGTGTAGTCTCGGGGTGCCTGGCTGGCTCAGTCAGTGGATTCTGCAATCTTGATCTTGAAGTCATGAGTTTGAGCTCCATGTTGGGCATAGAGATTACTTACAAAAAAAAAAAAAAAAGGAAAAGTGTAGTCTCCATAAATTATCTTTTTAAAGCTTTTATTATTGTCTTCTTAACATTTTTATTATTTTATTATTTTTATTTTAGAGAGAGAGGGAATGCCAGCAAGAGAGAGGGGCAGGGGGAGAGAATCCTAAGCAGGCTCCATGCTCAGCACGGATCCCGATGTGAGGCTCAATCCCATGCTCCCAAGACCACGACTCTGAGACCATGACCTGAGCTGTGATGCCCAACCGACTGAGCCACCCAGGCGCCCCTAAACTGTCTTTATAAAAAGGTGTGAGTGGTAAGTTGAATTTGTGTTTGACTTCTCTTCCCAAGTTGAAATTACTTAGAAAGTTCCCCGCACACCTATGTGGACTCCAATGGAGCCATCTGTGATTGCTCTGTGCTCTTGGAATGCTCAAACGAGTCAAGGAGACTCTGCAGTAAAAGTCTCTCATTTAGCTCACAAGGAAACAACATGATGTGATGCCAGCCTATTTCTCCTGTGGCCTTAAATGCGTCTGAGTTTTCAGCCGTTAAATAGTGATAGCAGGGGCCACACCTTCAAGGGTTGTGGTACGAGTTACCTGTAATTTTTGTAATGTGCCCAAGTGCGAAAGAGAGCACTGAGCCAATGGCAGGTGTATAGTTATCTTTGTATATTTATAACCACCATTTCCATCAGGAAGAATGGCAAGGCTCATCTACACTTAATCTGAGAACCCCAGGTAGTCAGAATGCAGGAGACAGAGAACTGGAATCTCCATTCCACTAGGCAGAAGCAGAAAACAAGGATTCTGGGAGGAAAGACGGGTGGTGTGATCTCATCTGAGAACACAAGGAACTAACAGGCTGTGGATGGAGGCAATAACATCCATAAAGGCTCAGCTATGGGATGAACATTTGCTTTAATTCAATCAAGTGTACCAGATGCTGGTGTTTCAGTACTGAGCGCCTTTCAGCACCTGCTTCCCCGACACAGTTTGTTCGAGAAAAGGGAAAGATACAAGGAAAGCCATCAGCAGTGGGATAGATAGCTCAAGAGCACTGAAATGTAAATATAAACTCATTTCCAGGCAAAATTGGAAACAAGGCTATGTTTACACTTCAGTGTCCTTGAGCTATCTAACCCACTGCCTAAGTAAATAAATATGGTCCTTCCTTTTGTTGATGTCTTTTACACACTTGTGGGACAGGGATCGGGACAGGGATCAAGGCTTCTGCAGGATATTATCTTCCCTAGAAGATGGCCTGGGCAGTTTGCTTTTTCCAGTGCGATTCTGACAGAACCTGGAAGGTATTCCATCGAGTGTCCCTTCTACTAAGGACGCCCATGTCAAGCCTGCGAGTTCTACTTCAGTGAGCTTCAGGGTCCTAAGAAAGGAAAAAGGCACATTTTTCCTTTTCCTTCCTCCCGTACTCCTCCATCCTCCCTGCGGGCATCTGAAGGAAGAGCAGGCCGGCCTTCCTTTGAGCAATTAACTTTGTGATGAGGACCCAAGCAAGGGAGTGACTCTCAAGCCTGGGCTAACCATGTATCTACCGGGGAAGCCTTCCAAGTAGTGACTTACAGCCCTCCTGCAGCATAATGGCAAGATCTGAGGGGAGAGGGGTGGCCATGCTGCTTTTCTAGTCCCCAGTAATGAGCTGGGATGTGATGACATAAGGCATTCTGCTCCCACCGGAGACCCTAAGATGATACCAACACCTGCCCAGCTCCTCGTCTTGTCTGCCAGTCATGACGAAGCTGGAAGCCTACTGACAAGGGAAGAGACTGAGCTTGCCGTCCACGGAGGGTGATGTGGCCCGAGCACATCCTTAAAGTGGGTGACGAGGCCCCAGGTGATGGAGGAAAGGATCACATACTCAATTGGGAGGGAAAGGTTGACTGTACAATGGCAAAAGGAAACAGAACTGAGAGAAGACAAACAAGTTGAAGATAAATGTACTAATTTTCTAGAGATTTCTTTTTGCTTTAGGGATTCTTTACACTTCTCCATAGAACATGCTGGGTCGTAGGTGTGGTCTGAAATGCAGCGTGAACAGGTGGGTGAGTCAGGTGATCGGCTGTGCAGACATCATATGGTGATAATATCGTCTCTTTGTGAATATGGCATTTGTGAGTCAAGAACTTTAGGATATTTTAAAAAGGACATTTAAAAAAGATTGCACAGGGAAGAAGAATATTTTATCCCTTCCCCTAGGTATGCAACACCTAGGCAACACACACAAAATGAAATTCTAATGGTGCCTACTAAGCCTATTTGAAAACAATCCTATCTGGTTCCCATAAAGGGATAGTCAGACAGTCAAGTTCTAGTTTTCCAATCCGGAAGCCCTCAAAGGAATGGAGGTAGAACTTGTACAAGTTTTTTAAACGATGTAACTGTATGGAATGGCCTGTCATTTCCCCCCAGTTGGTACTCATTTCTATGCTGATGAAAGTTGGAAATGTTTGACACAAGGAAAAAGCTTGAGATGTTATTGGGCCAGGTGTATTCAAATAAAATCAAAAAACAGCAACATTAGATATATACAAAACAGCATAAGTGAAACACGATGTGATGTAGCATTTTCTATTCAAAGCTCACAGTAGAACAATTTAGTAAACAAAACCTCTCATCCTCCTTCCTGCAGGAGCTCATTGGAGCCTTGCAGTCACTTCTGTTGCTTTCATATCCTCGTATAAATAGTCTCACACACACCTTACACAATTTAGAAAAGATTGCTGAATCACAAAAGAGACCCAAATCTGGCGGTTTTTACTGTCTTGAGTACAACTAAAATTAACATTTCATCGTTAAAATAATGTTCAAATCATTGGAAGCAATAAAGAGAATACTTATGTCTTATAAGGCCTTATCAGGCTCTGCAGAGATTAGAATCTTATTGTTCTCCCAAAGTACATTGTCCAAAAAAGTCTCTCAGATAGGAAATTGTGGGATTGAAGAGCTGGGCCGTTGAAAAATACTCCTTCTGAAGGTACAGCAGTTCCTTTGCTTCTTCTCTCTTTCCTGGGAGGTCTGGGCCAGCCCTGGCCGTCGGTGGGATCCACGTGGGGACACACGCGAGCTCTGCACGCTCACAAACCACACTTCTGAAGGAAACAGAGCAGAAGAACATGGCGGCTGGACACTTCTGTAGGGAGCAGAGCAGAAGAACATGGCGGCTCCTCTGCTTTGTGTCTGGGGGTTCCGAGCTGTCTCCATGGAAGGAAGATCTTCAACAGTCTCAGACATCAGGGGCAGGGGAATCACTGCAATCTGGGAGAGACCATTTTAACCTGCTGACTGACTTCAGGTGCAACATGTAACAGATCAGATTAGTAATTTTTTTTTTTTTAACAGATAAGCCAAAGCATAGAGAAAACGCAAACAAGGGTCATGATATGCGTCTGGTTACTTCGCTTTTTATAAACGAGTTTCGTTCTGCTACTGTTTTGAGAGTCGCTGTGAGGGCCTCTGAACCTGCGGGTCACACATCGAGCTGTAAACAAGAGGCCAATGGCTTCTTCTCAGAAGGCCACATGCAGACGTCCGTCTAGCGAAGCAAGACTGCCGGCTGGGAGCGGGCCACGCGGCTACTGGTGGGCATCAGCCGACGAGAAAGGGAATACTTTCCCATGTCGAGAGTGTTCTTCCTGAGTAACTGGGCCTCGCTTCCAGGAAGCAGGGCCGGTCGATGATCCTAGCGTATGAAACACCGCGCAAACCAGCGGTGGTCCTGTTTTCTTTTTGAACGAGGCAGCCGTCCCAGCCGATGGCCACCAGACTCCCTGTGCATTAAGGCTGCTGCTGGTACTGCCCTTCGGTGGCGGTATAGAAATCATCCAGGACGCTCTGCAAGTAATCAAACGTCGGCCTCTCCTCTGCCTTTTCTTTCCAGCACATTTTCATGATGTCATAGAGCTCGTCTGGGCAGTTCTCCATGCGGGGCATCCTGTAGCCCTGCGACAGGGCAGTCATCACGTCGGCGTTCGTTCTCCCTGAAGCGAAAGAGATGCTCTGTTTAGAAACCTGACCGAGGGTCGAGCGCTGGAGGGGTCTTTCTGCTCCCTACATCCTACATCCGTTACTGAAGCAGGCTGCAGAAGCTGTGAGGGATCGAACTGTGTCCCCTCCTCCCAACCCCCCAAATAGATTCACAGGTTGACATCCTAACCCTCCGCCTCGGAAAGTGACCGCATGTATATATAGTTTTGAAAGAGGTAATCAAGTTAAAATGAGGCCCTGAGGGTCTACTCTAACCCAATCTGACTGATGTTCCTTTCTTTTTTATTAAAAAAAAATTTTTTTTAATGTTTTTTATTTATTTCCGAGAGAGACACAGACAGCATGAGCAGGGGAGGGTCAGAGAAAAGAATCTGAAGCAGCTCCAGGCTCTGAGCTGTCAGCACAGAGTCCGACACGGGGCTTGAACCCATGAACCGTGAGATCATGACCTGAGCCGAAGTCGGACTTTTAACCAACTGAGCCACCCAGGCACCCCTGATGTTCCTTATACTGAGAGACTGGGACACTGGGGGATGCACGGGCACCGAGAAACTGCCGTGTGAAGACACTGCAAGAAGATGGCCATCTCCAGGCCAATGAGGAGCCTCGGGAAAAGACAAACCTGCCAGTATCTTCTGGCTTCCAAAGGTGTGAGAAAATCAATTTCTGTTGTTTGAGCTATTCAGTCTGTGGTATTTTGTTACGGCAGCCCTAGCAAATGGGTAGGGAGGCTAAGGAGGTTTTGGTAAGTGACAAAATAACATAAATTTTACTACAAAGAAGATCAAGATGACATTCGGTTTGTTGGAGTGAAAACAGGCAAACAAGAGAAGCAGAAGACAGGGCAAGGTCTCTGAGTGACAAAGGGATAATGGACTTGACTGACCTTAACTGATTTACTCAAACCCCATTCTAACCCTCAATCTCTTTTGTGGTATTTTTTCTGACTTCTACCTGTAATACACATGCCAAAAAAAAAATCATCCTCATGTACATTATCGCATTCCAACATCTATATTTTTTAAAACCAGCTTTTCAACGTAAGTTTACTTAAGGAAGTCAACATCCTTAAAATCAGGGGGCGCCTGGGTGACTTAGTCGGTTAAGCGTCCGACTTTCGCTTAGGTCATGATCTTCCGGTTCGTGGGTTCGAGCCCCACATCGGGCTCTGTGCTGACTGCCAGCTCGGAGCCTGGAGCCTGTTTCAGAGTCTGTGTCTCCCTCTCTCTGACCCTCCCCTGCTCATGCTGTCTCTCTCTCTCTCCTAGAAATAAATAAAAAATATTTTTAAAAAATCCTTAAAATCAGCTAGTCCAATGGACAATGTCCCAATCATTAAGTTGCCTCCTACAAAGTCTTCAGTACAGAGCTCACACTGACCCTACAATGTGCAGGGTCTTAACATCCAGTGAGGGGAAGGGGAGTGTTCGTTATTCTGACTGACTTCTGCAGAAGGACTGCCTTTAATGTCGTCAAATGTCAGTCGTTGATAATGAGAATAGCTTTAAAGAAAAAGAAAGAACATTTTCCTCCATGTTTGAAGTGGGGCAGAGGCAGATGTGCGTTCAGTAGTACCTGTCCACATCTGGATGTTTTCCCTACTTTGTGGACATCTTAGCATGTAGGGAAAAAGCTACATCAGGTGGAATGTTTCTATGTAGTATCTGATACCTGGCATATGAGGAATTCCATTTATCACGACCAATGCCTTTCCATAGCCACAGGTTTTACCAGTGCTGGTCACCGAGAAGATTCTAAAAGATAGCTAGAAGTGAAATGTCTTTGACCAGATGTGAAACAGAACCTTCTTTTGAATTTCGTCTCTGATCAGTGGTTTTCAAATTGTGGGTCATGGCCCATTTGAGATCAACAAATTGATTTTTTTAGGGGGCTACTGGTATTTTTAAAAATAAATTATAACATGGGGCGCCTGGGTGGCTTAGTCGGTTGAGCGTCCGACTTTCGCTTAGGTCATGATCTCGCGGTTCGTGGGTTTGAGCCCCGCATCGGGCTCTGTGCTGACTGCCAGCTCAGAGTCTGGAGCCTATTTCAGAATCTGTATCTCCCTCTCTCTCTGACCCTCCCCTGCTCACGCTGTCTCTCTCGCTCTCCTAGAAATAAATAAAAATATTAAAAAAAAATTATAACAGAATGAAAGAGAAAAGATCAGAATGCCCTTGCATGTAGTAAAAGCTAGTGCTATTCCGTGAGGCCTTTCGTTTTGCTGGTGGAGTGGTTTCTGTTTATCTCTTACTGTGGGGGGGCAGGATCAGTGACCTTTGAACTCCTCAGCTCTTAACTAACCTTTCTTTTTCTAAGGACACAGTGACCCGAGGCCCTGCGTGGATTTAAACCCTTGCAAGAAGACATGATTATTTCAGTTTTGGAAAAGTCCTTGTTTTTGCAATGGAAAGATCCAAGCGAACCTTATAATCATTGGGACCTCCTGAAAGTTGTTTATTTACATGGTGAATTAATTTTGCTCAAGTCTTCTGAAACACTATCTTCAGGAATGTTCTAACGGAAAGACTTCAACTTATTCTCATTGCTTGAAGCCAAGGGACCGGTGTGCAACACTCTATTCGTCTGGGGTTCTAGTCTCCATAAATTACATGGCGTCAGCACTGCTCTGGCTCTTGCAACTGATTAAGCTTGCTTGGGCAAATTTCAGTTGAAATCTCTGTGCTTGCTTCTCCTTGGGCGTTGGGTGAGGCCCTGAGATCTTGGTAGAAGGATTACACCCAGGATGATAGAAAACAGCATCTGGACCAGCAAACTTCTTAGGAGTATCTTTTTCATCCTTTTTAAAAAAAGTTTATTTATTTATTTTGAGAATTTGAGAAAGCACAAATCAGTGAGGGGCAGAGAGAAAATCCTGGGCTCTGTACTGTCAGCACAGCACAGAGCCCGACGCGGGGCTCTAACCCATGAACCATGAGATCATGACCTGAGCCAAAGTCGGACCCTTAACCTACAGAGCCACCTGGGCATCCCCTTTCTTCTGCTTTCTGCCTGGAGAAACCCTAGCTGAATTAAAAAAAAGGTCAGAACGTGCCCCCAGAAGAGGTTTTCTAGCCCGGCCCCGACTTGGCTCACTGCAGATTTCTCTCTCCTCATTCTCATCTGTTTCCCTAACCCTGGAGAACTCTCCAGGATGCATACAGGCCAGATATGCTCCATTCTGCCTGAGGGAATTTGACTTGATAATCGGATAAGAGAGAAATCGGAATGCACAAGTAAATCTACAAGCAAAATAAGGCTATTGAATGACAAGTCTTCTGGAAGAAGGAAAGAAAGGGGGGGGAGGGGAGGGAGACCTCAATCAGACCCTCAGGCTAAAACTGATATGTGGCCACTGCTCTGTCTCTAGGTTCAAGAGAGCGAACACCCATTGGCTGGTGATGGAAAAAGCAAGTAGTTTCGTACCCCATCCTCCATTCTCGCCACAAGCATTGACTGGGTGCTGCCTATGGGGAGTGAGCTGGCATGAAGGTCTGACAGGTGCAAAGCTGAGTAAGAGTCTTGCCCTCAAATGGCCAGGGGGAAGATGCCCCCCTCCCCGGGGGAGGGAGGTGGGAGGGAGCAGGAAGTGAAATCTGGAGTGGGTAGGAATTAGCAGACGTTAAACGTTGGTGAAGGAGCAGAGGAAGGAGAGAAACGCAGTGCCGTGGAGAACAGAAAAGGAACAGTCAGCGACTCTCGGCTCTGAATGGGAGTCCAGTGGCTTCAGACACCACAACGGACTTTAGCAACAAGGGGCCCTCGGTGTGTGGCAGCACGGGAGCAGCAGCTGCCAGGGGCCAGTCTCCCACCCCGTGATACTTCCCAAAGGGCAACGGTTTTGTTTTCTTTTTCTTTCGGGCACCGCCTGTGCCCAAGGTGAGCATTTACAGCAGATGAATCCCCTGATTCCAACTCACATGCTGGACGTGGCTGCTAAGAAACAGCCAGGAAAGGGGCACCTGGGCGGCTCAGTCGGTTAAGCATCTGACTTCGGCTCAGGTCATGATCTTGTGGTCCGTGAGTTCGAGCCCTGTGTCAGACTCTGTGCTGACAGCTCAGAGCCTGGAGCCTGCTTCGATTCTGTGTCTCCCTCTCTGCCCCTCCCCTGCTCACGCTCTGTCTGTCTCTGTCTCTCAAAAATGAATAAACGTTAAAAAGAAAGAAAGAAACAGCCAGGAAAAACATGCTTCACAAAACTTTGTCAATTTCAAACCTCCCTTTTCTTTGTAAGAGCAAAGCAAAACACAACCCCGACCACAAAGAGCCCCTCTATTTTCTTTAGAAAATTCATATATAAATAGGATTACAGTTTGCTTTTAAGATAGTGAAGTAAGGATCTTTTGCCCCGCCCCTCCCCCTCCCCCCCTTTAATTTATCCTAAAACGCAAGGACAAGAAATAGAGACTTCAGCTCCGCATTTGGTGCATCCAGGAGCCTCCTGTGTCCCGGGGGCAGAAGTGCCCAAGCCAAGAGCAGGGACGTGGACAACACGCACTCAACAGACGGTTGAGGTTGGTGGCTGCAGACAGACTGGTACTAGAACCCGCCTGGCAGGCGGCCCACGGTACCGCTGGAGAAACTGAGGGCGACACGCCCCACGCTCAGGAAGGCCAGCCCTGGTGGAGGAGGGGGTCAAGTGCGGGCAGAAGGAGCTAGAAGCAGGGCTGCAGATGGGAGATCAAGACCCTCTGACACACACCAGAGCTGAATGAACCCTGGAGACACAAGCCGGACGCAAGACGGCAAATACTGCATGATTCCATTTATAGGGGGTTCCTGGGACTGTCCAATTCATAGGGATGGAAAGTAAAATAGAGGTTGCGGGGGCTGGAGGGCAGGCGACTTATTACAGCTTCAGTTTGGGATGATGAAAAAGTTGTGGAAATGAAGGGTAGCGGTGGCCACACGACAATGTGAGTGTGCTCACTGCTGCTGAACTGTACACTTGAACGTGGTTACCGTGGTAAATCTTACCCTGTGTCTATTTTGCTACAATGAAAAAATACAACCGCAAACAAGAAAAGACACTGAGTTCCGCCCTCACCACCCCTCTGGAATGCTGAGGGCCAGGCTGGTCCCCGACAGGCAGGACCTGGAAGATTCTCTTCTTTTTTTTTTTTTTTAAATGTTTTTTTAAATTTATTTCTAGGAGAGAGAGAGAGACAGCGAGAGCAGGGGAGGGTCAGGGAGAGAGGGAGTCACAGACTGAAACAGGCTCCAGGCTCTGAGCTGGCAGTGAGCACAGAGCCCGACACGGGGCTCGAACCCACGAACCGCGAGATCATGACCTAAGCGAAAGTCGGACGCTTAACCGACTAAGCCACCCAGGCACCCCTGGAAGATTCTCTTCTGAAGAAACTAAATGTTCCCAGGGAACAGGCCTGAAGATGCTGCCCTGGGAGGGTGCTCACAGGTAGGCCTGGACCACCGCAGACCCTCGTTCCCATAGGACACCTCATCAAAGGAAGGGGGGGAAGAGAAAGCCTTCGAGCAGCACAGAAAGGCAGGATGACAGAAGTGAAGAAGAGACATGAGACTCAACCCACCGGTACGTGATCCAGAAAGAGAACAGAAAACGGGGCGGAGGACAGTTTCAAGGAAGACATATATGAAGATTTCCCAGAATTACAGCTACAAGTTTCCAAATAGAAAGGACAATTACCCAGCGTAACATAATAATGACCGATGAAATTGCAGGGATGTAGTAGAGAGATCCTGGGCTCTTCTGTTGAAAAAACAACCTTGGGATCCAAGACCCAGGGTGGGATCAGAAGCCCATCTGCTTTGGCTGAGCCATGTAGGAGGTAGATTCAGGGAAGGAATTTGTTTCACATTCTAGGTGAAAGCTTTGCTGTGCTAGTATTCACAACATAAGCAAATTTGAGAACGATACTTACGTAGTGATTTAATTTCAATTAGGCCATGAGTCTCTCAAGAAAAAGTCCCATTTAGGAAAAGTCCTAAGTGTGAACTAGAAGCAGAATATCAACTCTGATGCCTGAAAATTTCATGACCGTGATAAGCTGTCTTTAGTCATTCAGTGCTCACTCATCCACGAGAGAACAAGAAGAGTCCTTGACAAAACCAGTTCCCACAGCTCTGAGTCTAGGGGGCTAAGCACTGTAAAGCACAACAGAAAACTGTTGAAATGGACTGACAGTAGTTGAAAACACAGCATTTGGGGGATTTGCCCCCAAATATGATTAATAGGTACAAAAGCCTTTTTCTAAAAAGCGTATTAAGAAAAAGCCCTTTCTTGAATTATATCTGGTGGGCACACAAGTTCGTGGTTTTCGATGCGCCTCCTCAGTGTCTCTATTTCAACACAGACAACTGCAAATGGGAAATGACACTCCTACCATCCACCCCATATGTGGATGTGACGATTAGAATGTTGATAGGTGACTTTTACTGACAAGATTGTACCCTTTATTCTCTTATTCCCAGAAGTTTGTTCTATGTCGGTGACAGCAGTTTTGTCAACACGTGTATTGGGTACACCTCTAATGTACCTGCATGGATATTTCTGGAATGTTCAGTTCACCAGAAATTGATAATAATGGTTCCTATGGGGGTAAAAGGGGCCAGAAGGGTTGTATGGCCAGAGGTTAGGGATGAAAGGCACACCACTTCCACCATAGACTTCTTTGTGTGTCTTGAATTTAGAACCATATGACCATGTCCTTACTTAATGATAAGTAAAATCGGGAAAAATGTTTACTTAAGAGAGAATAGTATGAGTATAGTACTTTGAATTCTGAGCAACAAATATTAGAATAACTAAAATTTGTGAAAGTAAATATCTTTGAGGAGTATGAGGCCAGGGAGGCAATTTTTCATTAGAAGTCTTTTCATACTACCTGATTTTTTAGTGCACAGATATTACTTGAGCAAGAATTGAGATATTTAATAAAGACATAATTTTTAAAAAATTAGAAACGTCAAGTTTATCAAGAAGAAAATTAATATGACCTATCATTTCACTGACCAAGGATAGTAGCATTTTGGTATATTTCACTTCTTAGTCTTTTACTTAATTTTTTAAATTAATGTTTATTTTTGAGAGAGAGACAGAGCGTGAGCAGGGGAGGGGCAGAGAAAGACGGAGACACAGAATCCGAAGCAGGCTCCAGGCTCTGAGCTGTCGCACAGAGCCCAACTCGGGGCTCAAACCCACAAACTGCAAGATCATGACCTGAGCTGAAGTCAGACGCTTAACTGACTGGGCCACCCGGGCGTCCCCCCTTGTTTGTTTTTGTTGTTGTTGTTTTTACCATTTTTAATGATTTCCTTCCCCTAAATATTTTTACATCCTGGGCATCGAGCACAGTGAATGAGAACAAGGTATTTGGGGGGTACCCTGGCCTGGGGTTCAGAAGCAGCTCTACGAGAAGCCAGTGCTGCGGTGCGGGGCCAGCATCTCCTCTGGGCCTCACGGACTTCGTCCCTATGTCTCTGTGGAGCGTATCCTACGTATCTCATATCGTTTTATGAAGTTAGACGTTTATCTGATCAGATGTCAGATTACATGTGTAATCTACAGTCTCTCTCTATACATACAGATTATAGATACAGATACATAATGTCAGATATCAGGACCCATCCAGAAATATTTCCCTGGGGCGCCTGGGTGGCTCAGTTGGTTAAACCAATGGCTCTCAGTTTTGGCTCAGGTTGCAATCTCGCGGTTTCGTGAGTTCAAGCCCCATGTGGGGCTCTGCACTGGCAGCACGGAGCCTGCTTGGGATCGTCTCTTCCCCCCTCTCTCTGCCCTCCCCATCACGCTGCCTCTATCTCTCAAAATAAATTTAAAAAATGTTTCCCCTATCTCACAGTAGTGTTTTCATTCGCTGGGCGTCTAGAGCAGGATGGCGGTCGGAATACGAAATGCTGGCACAAGGATTTCGTGGGACTGCCAGCCCCGCCACCCGAGGCTCTCCCCTCCCTGGTCCCCTGGTCCCTGACACCTCTACAGCTCATGCGAAACAGCACTGAGGGTGACTCGGAGCGCCAAGGCCACGGTGCTACCCTGTCCACACGTTCTTCTCATCCACACGTGTCTATCTAGCTGCTGAACAGGTTAGGCACGTCATTTATTCATTCATCCACCAAATACTCACTGGGACCCAAACCACGGGGCCTCAGGACGTCATACAGTGGCTGTTTCCCCTGTGGCCCCTCCTCAAATGTCTGAGTCCCTGTTGCCACCAGGGTCACAGCACACAGCTGCCCCTGCACCCCTACCCCCAGCCCCGTCATCTGTAAACCACTCTGTAGCGCACTGTGCCCTCTGACAGTCTGTCGCCTCGTTGACCCTTACCAGTCTCTTCCTGCTAGGATATCAGCTCTCAGACGCAGGGGCATGACCGCCGCATCCGGGCACCTCGAGGGTGCCCGGCACCCTCCGATATTTTTTGAACGAGGGAATGATTTAAACATTAAAGGTTTAACTTTAAGTTCATCATATCATCGATTCCGTAAAAAGCCAAACAGTGACAGGGATGTGGAGGCTTTGGGAGAAATCCTTCTTCCTGCACATTTGGGCGCGGGACCGGGAAAAGGACGGGCTGGCCCAGTCTGGCTGCGAGAGCTTCAGGTGTTAGGAAGCTAGAGACACTGAATGGGTGCAAGTTACAGACTGGAAATTTCTTCCACTGAGAAGCAGAGGCGGTTCTTTCCTGAGATGGAGGCAGAGACTCCAAAGTACTTTACCCAATATAATCTCTGTTTCCAAACTATCCAAAAAACACTGTAAATCCTCACTGTTTTGTCTGCTTCCTCCTCTGTCAGGCACACGGCCGGATGGAGTTGGGGAGGGGAGCGGGGGAGGTGGGGCGGGGGGGCCTGTGTCTAAGCTTCCAGTCCATCCTCAGATCAGCAGCACCTATGATGGTGCCAGGCATCAAGTGATGGGATTAATTAGAAAAACAAAGGGAAGCTGTGCCGGGGTGGCTCAGTTGGTTGAGTGTCTGACTCTGGCTCAGGTCATGATCTCTCATTCATGCGTTCGAGCCCCATGTCCAGCTCTGTGCTGACAGCTCAGAGCCTGGAGCTGCTTTGGATTCTGTGTCCCCTCTCTCTCTCTGCCCTTCCCCCACTCGTGCTTTGTCTCTCTCTCTCTCAAGAAATAAAATAGAATGTTAAAAATTTTTTAAAAAAAGGAGTATGCATTCAATCAAATAAGAAGGCAGAGAAGCGTCGAAGCCTGTTTTAGAACCCTTTCCACTGCAGACAGTCACAGTCAAGTTCTAGCACAAAGGGCTATTTTGAAGTTCTGGATCTGGGCTTAGTTTTTTATGCCTCCCACCATTTGGCTTCTTTTCTCATGCCAATTACTTGAATGGAAATAGGTAAGTAAACGATACCTGGGTAGGGAATTTTCCCGTAGGTGACGATCTCATACAGAAGAATTCCGAAGGACCACACATCAGACTTAATCGTGAAACACCCGAAGTTGATGGCTTCCGGAGCGGTCCACTTAATGGGGAATTTGGCACCTACGGGAGAAGACTTGTGTCACTTGGGCCTCTGGGCTGAAACAAAGAAGTCACCGGCAGGCAGCCCTCATACTTTCCTTCTCTGGGGGAAGATTTTAATGATTTGTTTTCAGTAGATAATGCACGCGCACAGTACAAAACAGATAGTAGAAAACATTATACTGAAAATAGTCCCCCCCCTCCTGTGTCCCTTTTGGGCACCCCCCAGTGAGAAGCAAAGTCCCTTGTGCACCCTCCCAGAGATGTCATAAGGAGCCCTCTTTAAACAAAAGAACGTGACACGGAACGTAAAGGCATTTATTCTTCACTCATGTTTGTCCCTTGACCCCGGCCTCTAAAGAGTGTATCTTCGCTGTTCTGATGCTCTCCACCCAAACCACGTTACTCGGAATAGAACTATCTTGTGACATGTACAGTCTGCTGGACAATCTCGTTACACCCACACTGATCGGAATTGTGGGTCCCACTCCAAAGGTTAAGGTCTGCTGTCTTCATTTGCTCGGAGCAAACATTACTACTTTTAGGAACCGAGGAGCAGAACGCTGTGCCCAGAGAGAAGCAGGACACCAGGATTCTGGAATTCATTGTAGCGTCAAGCCCAAGTGGGAAATCCGACCAAGAATAAGGACAGCAGATGGCCCCATGGAGAAGCTAGGTACTGCATGCAGGTGCAGGCTGCTCTCCCCCCACAGGGCTGGGTGGCATCGAGGGCAGAGGGGGGCAGGGTGGCTGGTGGGGGGGGGTCAGTCCTGCACAGCACACCCTGCTGTGAACGCTGGGTCTCCCGTTTCCGACTTGGTGTGACCTGGTAAGCCACTCACTGCGTTAGGTCTCCTTGGCACGTCCACCCATGAACGGAGGAGACAGAACCTCCCCGGCATTGGTGCCAGTCAACTGGGCTGATCTGCACGCCTGGCACAGGGCAAACGTTACTGTTGCCCTGAAACGGCTACTATTGAATTCTAGAGCCCAGGTTCTCTGCGCTAAGCCACCGTCTCAGGCAAGCACAGTTAGCTCTTTCTGTGAGGCACCAGCATTGTCAAACTCAGCAAAACCAGCTCAATACGCTCCGGCTGCTGTACTCTGAGGCGGCCTCCGTGGGTTCGATGCTTGGCTCTCCCACTTACTAGGAGCCCTTAGGGCTGCCGACCCTCCCTGTGGCCTGACCTGGATGGTGGGGACGGTAATGATAATATAGCAACAACATGGCTTATTGCATCTCCTGCCTTTTCGGTGAGGACAAGTTGTCACCCAACCTAAGCGGGGAGCCACCTGAGCCATGACGGACACAAGAGATACTGTTGTCAATGCTGGATTTGTAAATCCAGTGGACATCTTCGAGAAACGGCATGCGTGTGCTTACAGGAAAATAACTCCTGTTTAGTAAGTTTTAGGAATGTCAAGAGAGTGCCCGGCTTGGCAAAAAAACGCACTGAACTTTCATGAGTGAGGCCATCAGGGTCCTCAGACCTTACATGACACGGAGAGATGAGCGCAGCCCCAGACAGAGCCACGTGCCAGCGACCGGGGGGCTGACATTTCTCTGTGCGTTGTAGTAAGTGTAGAATACGGAATACGGAACATGGCTAGATACAGGGGTGTATTTTTGCAGCATTACATTTGCTTCTCTGTGTGGGAGAATTTCCAGGTTTTAATCGGCAATCAAAAGACCAGAATACAGGAAACAAAATTATTGTCACGAATGTTTTCCCTATAGTGAGGTACAGTGTGCTTCCTTGTTTGGGAAAAGAGCTTTAATACACAAATACAACAAAGAACTTCACACTTGCCAAGTCTCTTTTTCTTTTCCTTTGCTTAGTTGAAATACAAATGACAATGTTTATAAACCTTATACACAATGTGTGGAGTTAATCAGGAGAGTAATTTTAAAAACAATTATTACAATAGACTCACAAACAGAAACAACAGTACACTGTGAACATTTTACCAAAGGAGTTCTCTTTTTTTTTTTTAACGTTTATTCGTTTTTTGAGAGACAGAGAGAGAGAGACAGAGCGTGAGCAGGGGAGGGGCAGAGAGAGAGGGAAACACGGAACCCGAACCAGGCTCCAGGCTCTGAGCTGTCAGCACAGAGCCCTACACGAGGCTCGAACCCACAATCTGTGAGATCATGACCTAACCTGAAGTCAGACACTTAACCAACTGAGCCACCCAGGAGCCCCGGGAGTTCTCTTTTTAAAATGATGACTATTGTAATTGCTCTGTTAAGAGAGAGACAGACAGACAGACAGACAGACACACACACACACACACACACACACACACACAAAATAAAACTAAATACCAAAGTGGCTGAAGCCAGTGAGGAGCTTACCTTCCCTTGCCGTATACTCATTATCCTCGATCACACGAGCAAGCCCAAAATCCGCAATTTTGCACATCAGTGACTCAGAGACCAGAACGTTTGCTGCTCGCAGGTCTCGGTGAATGTAGTTCTTCCTCTCGATGTACGCCATTCCCTCTGCTATCTGAAAACAGAAAAGGGCTCTCACTTTCCACGTAGGGTAACCTATCACTGAGGACCATCAAGGAAAACCAAAAAAACCTTACACATTCCTGGAATCCTTTCATGTATATTATTCTGATCATTCAAAACTTGAAAACAGTGGGAAGGGGGCGCCTGGGAGCCTCAGTCAGTTAAGAGCCCGACTCTAGGCTTGGGCTCAGGTCAGGATCTCACAACTTGTGAGTTCAAGCCCTGCGTTGGACTCTGTGCTGACAGTACAGAGCCTGCTTGGGATTCTCTGTCTCTCTCTGTCTCTCTCTGCCTCTCCCCTGCTCACTCTCTGTCTCTGTCTCTCTCTCTCACATAAATAAACAGATAAATACAGTGGAAAATTACAGTGGCTATTTTGAGTCCCTTCTAAAAGGACTGCCCCCACCCCAAATCTCCAATGATAATTGATAAGGGACCATAAGGCAAGGTGAGGGTCCACCCCTCTCCCAGGTGGGATGTGTGTGACAATCCTCAGGCACTCCCGGCTGCCCAAGAACAAAGGAAAGAAGAGAAACAAAGGGTTAAACTGACAGCCAGCTCCATCGGTTTGCAAATATCTCATCAATAGCCTAATCTCTCAATGCTAATGCGTTGCTAGATAGAAAAACAACCTTAGCTGACAACAGCCAGGTCTCCAGTCATCCATCAGTCCTCTTTAGTGTATGGAAATCCCTTTAAGAAACTTTCTCTTGACTTTACCTCACCCAATTCCACAGTATATAAGGGGTCACTCTGCACGGCCCTGGGCAGCTCTTCCTGCCCATGGGTCCTGTCTCGGGGTTATAATAAATTCACCTTTTCGCAACAAAACTGTCTTCAAGAATTCTTTCTTGGCCACCAGCTCTGAACCCCACCACCAGCCCTGAAACCTCACCAACACTGATCGCATCTCAACGTGAGTTTTGACAGAGCTGCGTGTCTTGACATTTCCTAATGTGTGGGGGATCTTTTTAAGACCCCTCCCCCCACTAAATTCTTGCTCCTAGACACAGGGATGTCATTATTCCAGTGTTTGAGATGAGAAAACAGAGCAGGATGAAGGGCTGGACACATACAGGTAGACTACCAGGGTGTCAAGAACAGGGTGTCCTCAATTTCCTGGTCTTTGGGGGGATGTGTCAAATGAGAAATGGCTGCGGTGGAGGTCAAGGAGGCTGTTTCCTGCTTTCTCTTCTAGGGTTTTGATGGTTTCCTCTCTCACATTCAGGTCCTTATCCATTTTGAGTTTATTTTTGGGTATGGTGGTGAGAAAATGATCTAGTTTCATTCTTCTGCCCATTGCTGTCCAGCTCTCCCAGCACCATCTGTTAAAGAGGCTGTCTTTTTTCCATTGGATATTCTTTCCTGCTCTGTCAAAGATTAGTTGGCCATGCATTTGTGGGTCCAATTCTGAGTTCTCTATTCTATTCCATTGGTCTATGCGTCTGTTATATGTAAACCAACTTGACAATAAACTATAAAAAAAAAAAAAAAAAAGAACAGGGTGTCTGCCCCTAGGTCAGCAACCCCCCTGCTGTCAGGTTAATCAACAGCCCACAGAACCGGTTCCCCAAGCTCTCCCTGCACTGTGGGTCCACAATGGCCAGAGAGATGCACCCGGACAACAGAGCACTCTGGCAGGAAAGAAGCAAAGATTTAAATAAAACCATAAAGTCAGGGAGGTAAAACTGTGACTCGTGACTTACTAGAAAACTTGTTTTTTAAGGAAATCCACATGAGACATTTAGGGGATAATATTATGAAATTCTAAAGATAAGGATCGGGAAGGAAGGAAGGAATCAAGGATCAAGGATGGACAGAAGGAAGGAATGAAGGAAGGAAGGAAGGAAGTGAGGAGGGAAGGAAGTTAGGAAGGAAGAGAGAGAGTGTGCATGAGCAGGGGAGGGGCAGAGAGAGGGCGGCAGAGGATCTGAAGCAGGCCCTGAGCTGATAGCAGTGAGCCCGATGTGGGGCTCGATCCCACACGCTGGGGTATCATGACCTGAGCCGAAGCCACCGCTCAAGTGACTGAGCCACCCAGGTGCCCCTGGGCTAGTATTTCTTAACTTTGGCTGTGCCCCTAGGGGCGTCTGGGTGGCTCAGTCAGTTAAGCTTCTGACTTCGGTGTAGGTCATGATCTCGCGGTTTGTGAGTTTGAGCCCCACGTCCATCAGGCTCTGTGCTGACAGCTCAGAGCCTGGAGCCTGCATCGGATGCTGTGTCTCCCTCTCTCTCTGACCCTCCCCTGCTCACATTCTGTCTCTGTCTCTCTCAAAAATAAACATTAAGAAAATTTTTAAGTACTACCACTACCTAGGCCTCACCCTCAACCAGTTAAGCCTGAATCTATAGGAGTGGGGCCTCCCCAGGAGATACCAGTATGCAGTCCTGGTGGGGAACCACTCGAGGCCCTCAGGCCAGGGGTGGCCTTAACATCATCTGGGAACGAGTCAGAAGCGTGGCATTTTGGATTCTGATCCTGATTTCTTCATTTAGAATCTGAATTGGAGCAAGATCTCTGGGTGACTTGCATGCACATTAAAGTTGCAGAAACATGTACGATACCAGATCATCTGCTTTTACGTAAGCTATTTTTTTAAAAAAAAATTTAATGTTTATTTAGTTTTGAGAGACAGAGAGAGACAGAGCACAAGTAGGGGAGGGGCAGAGAGAGAGGGAGACACAGAATCCGAAGCAGGCTCCAGGCTCTGAGCTGTCAGCACAGAGCCCGACGCGGGGCTCCAACTCACAAACTGTGAGATCATGGACCTGAGCCAAAGTTGGTCGCTTAACCGACTGAGCCACCCCGGCGCCTCTGATTTGATCTTTAGGTTTGAAAACAGATGAAGAGATTCTCTTCATCCTGGACCACGGCAGCCTCGCAACACCACGCCCGCAGATGTACAAACACGAGGAGACCTCAATTCTGCAAACCGCCTGTTGAGGCTAAAGCAAGTAACCAATTCCCAACTCTGTAGTAGAGCATCTGGGTGTGAAGCCACTGGAAATTTGAAATAAAAAGCACCCCCATTATCTAAAATGAGAACAGTCACGTAAGAAGATAATGTTAGCAATGTTTTCATGCTCCTGGTTTTAAGCTAACTGATTTAGGTTTGACTGTGCTTTGCATTTCTCATGTTCTTCGGCTCAAATCGCATGACAAATGTACACTTCTTGGTTCCTCTTTTTGTACCTTCAATGGAAATATAGGATGGTGACGTTTCTCCTTTGGGGTGTGAGTGCGCAGGCCTGTGTCGTGCTCTGCTCTCCTGGGAGGGGCAGAGAGGAATCACTAAGTAAGATGGTGACGCCCTGGGATTCCAGCCTGGGCCAGTAACCCAGATGGGCTCTGGTGAAATGCCAGGCTTCTAGTACCTGGTGAAAGTTCTAGGCGCAGGTGCGATATTAAAAATGCAGTTTCCGAGTTCAGGGGAAGGTGCTAAATCAGTCCCATGCCAAGCAAGTTTTTCAGAGGCCCTTCGAATGTGCTGCTAGAAGGAAAGAAATTGGCCACCAGGTGTCTGCCGATCAGCTTTCAAACATGGCAGAAGCGAAGGGGCTAAAAATACATATGCAACCAGAGAAAGAAGGTGTTATCAAATGCTCTGACCCCAAACACACCGGCCTGCCTGTTTTGCTGCTGGTGTGAAAAAGAAAGAGTCAACCCTCCCAACCAGTACCCTCCCTGGCCCACAGCGAATCAGAAGGCGCCATGTCTCACAAGGGTAGGTGACCTGGCTGTGTTGGTTGGCGGGTGAGCTGGATTGGGAGTGGGTTTCAGATCCTCACCCAGCATCTCACAGGGTCCTTACGGGCACCCTCTACAGGGCACTGCGGTCAACGTGTGTCTGTTCTGGAATAGCCACGTCTACAGATGTGATGTTACAGATGGACGCGTACACACACAAACACAACACAAGCATACGGCGAGTTTTCAGAACGCTTACGGCCTCTGCTCTCTCTGTCCATCATTCTCTACTGCACACAAGCACGTATACACACGTATGCAAAGTGGGGACGGAACACAAAATCTAGAGTCCTATTTACTTTGCAAATATGTTTTTTTTCCAGGGTACAGGTTGGAAATCACACCAAACTTTTCAGACGCATTTTGAGCTGAGCTTACTCGTTTTTAAATTCTTGTCTAACATTAACATTTAGGTAGAGAGTTTGTGCTTCTTTTCCCCAAATGAGGAGTGAACACTGCAGGCGGCTCAGCAGACCCTCTTCCCTCACCCCTGCCTGGGCTGCCCTGAGGAAGGCAATATGGCTCCTGCCCTCTCAGTGACCCATGGCCCTCCATCATCAAATGCATTTATGGCGAAGTGAGTTGTCAGTGGCCAACTCGGGGCTCTCAGCACAGTTCTGCTTGGGGCAGGAAACACCTCACGACTACAGCCTCTGGCTCCATATCAGATGGGCTTATTTTATGGGGACTACGACTCTGGAGGGGGGAAAAAATCTCAATTATGTTTTTACATACCAAAACGGAGCTCAAATAATCCTTATCAGCGACCTTCTTTGGTAGCCATGACCCCAGAGGTCACTCATCTTCTCCTGTTTCTCTTAGAAGCCCCATCAGAAGCCTATCAACCCAGCACCCACACAGTACTTGCGCCCCCCCCCCCCAGGGGGCTCCCTCCCCGTCACAGGCTCTGCGCCTTCGGTGGGCCTTCCCAGGCCTGGGCTCAATGGATGGTCTGCTGGGCACACACACTGGGCTGCTTTCAGCAGAGAATCGGAGCGATGCTTTGGACAGATAACAAAAGGTTTGTGGGGGTGGCCTTGCTCTGCAAGTCTTGCTCTGGGGTTCCATTTGTGTTCCATTCGTCCTAATCACTATCACTTTCCTGAGAAATTGGCAAGTTACAAGCTCTCTGGCTCAGTGAATCATTTTTTATTTTAATGAGAAGAAGCCCGCATTTGAATCCGATGAGGAGGGAACAAAGGAATGGAAGGAGCCTAATTGAGGGACTCAGTGTGATCTCTCAA